TCTTTTTTCTTTTTTTTTTTTTTTTTTTTATAATCCTCCAATGCGTATTCCCTCAGGACGTAGCATATATTTAACAATTTTTTAAAAGCTAATTTATATTTATATTTATATTTATATATAATATTTATATTTATTTATATATTTATATATATTATGTCCCAAGTTAGTGTGCCGCTTAAAAATTATATATATATATATATATGGCAGTCATCGAAACGCAAACGAACTGTTTGCGGAGAAACGCGAAATTAAAAAAAGTGCTGGATGAGACAAAAAATATATACGTGTGTATAGATCTTACAAATGAACACGTGTATCGATTGAGCTGCTTACAATAAATAAAACAAGATAGATCGTGAATTAAAAAGAACAACGCTTTTTTCCTTCTTAAGACAGGCAACAATGTATATCAAGTTACTGCATAAGCTCCGATAAGAGTTCCTTCTAAAATGGAAACATTAATGCTCTCTCTAAACCGCTATAAATTTTAATCTATGTAATATAAAAAGAGCTAGAAGATAGTTTTCAATTAAACGAGAGTATATCTTATAAGGCATTGCTTCTCGAGTTGACATATATATACGATTTGTAGAAACATAGAAAATCGTCCGAAGTAATGTTAGCAAATACATACTGTTCAAAATAGAAAATTATTCTATCGAGTCACATTTTACGTCTGATATTCAATTCATTACGAGTCATTTCGCTTCAAAATGTGATCTGGTTTATCTTGAACAGTATGAATTAATTTAGAATCGAATTCTTATTTGACTTACAATATATAGAACTTTTGCAGCAGCATGATATCGCTTAAAAATTAAAAAAAAAAAAAAAAAAAAAAAAAACAAAGGATCGTCTTGACGACATTGTAAAACGATATCAAACGCAAATATTAAATTACAAAATCCAACTTATATCACCGAGTTTACCATTAGCAGTACTATTGTATTACCATACAAATATGCGAGAAAGATGGGCAATTAATTTTGACAATCAATATCCATGTTCAAGTAACTCGATCACGCTAACGTGGGACATTATCGAATGTGTGTATGTATGTGTGAGTCACTTTCTCAACTAGCGATATATTGCAAAGTGTCCGAAAGATTCCTTGAAGAAACTAAAAAAAACGCAATTAGAGACTTTAAATAGCCTATACGCGCGTAAAATGTTTTAGACACATACAGACAGCTGCTTAAATATTTTCTATTAGTTTTCTTTTTCTCCGTGACGAGTTATCGAAGATGATAGGCGTGTTTCATAAAAACAACGCAGATCTTATAGTAAGTTGAGTCTTCCTTCAATTTTGTTTCTCTTTTTCTTTCTTTGTTTTTTTCAAACACCATGTCCGCGTGTGTGTCTCCTAATTCTTATAATCTTGTTGCTTTTTTTTTTGTTATTTATTTGTTAACCACGTAGAGCGACGAAACATTTCTTTTAAACTGTGTGTGTTGTGCTGAGCGGCTTATACTGAACTTCACTGCTCCAGTTTAGCTGAAAATTGGCAAACAAAGCAAACGTTAAATTAAAAAGTGTTAACGCACATTACGTCGGAGGCATGTGTATATGTGTGTCTCTTCAAAAAATCAATAAGAATTTCTTATGAATTAATGAGGCATAGAGCTAAAATTAATTTTATTTTTCTTCTTATTTTTCGTAAAATGGTAAAAGCAATTCTTAAATTTTTTTTAAGTCTTTTTTGCTAAAAAAAGATCAAGTCTACATTTCTTTCTTTCAATCTTAACTTATTGGATAATTTGTTATATAATAATTTTTAAATGTACGATATAAAACGAAAACTGTAATACTCTAGCCTCTTTAAAATTTGAACGTCCACAACACTGAGCAAGAATATGTGTTGA